GATCAACGGCGGATTTGCAAGGCGAAAGTTAGGGTAGAAGTTTGGGGCTGCCTCAGGGTGGGACTGTGTCTTTAGTTGGGACCAAGAACCCGAGGGGCCACGAAATTGTTTCGACTACCTTTAGATCCTTTATTCTCAAGCTACAGAATATGTTGGAGTTTGAGCAGTGTCCTCAGCACAGCCAAAGCTTGCGCGACTCATCACAATGAATGGCATCTTCAGCCAATGTTGGGAATCAAGTCTGAGAAGTTAGTTTTGTCCCCCTGTTTGTAAACCTGTCAGTCCCACTATCAATCAATCAGCTCACGGGTTTACTCATCCAGGGTTCCCGTTACCCAGCAACATGTGCTGTTCGGGTTCCCTTGGCTATTGAGGGAAACACAGCCCTGATGGCCGGAGCTGTTCCAATGCTTCTCGAAGTGAACTGCACACGCTTTGCGAATGACTGTTTGCGACAGAGAGCTGTTCAAGCTGATCTCATGAAGGTTGTGGACACGGCAGCGCCTATCTTCCTTTCATGAACCCTTTGAGTGGCCGAGGGCCATGTGGACCCAACATATTTTGTGTGAATTGCCCCTCTTCAGCTGTCTTGAATGTTGAAGAACACATGCCTAGATTGTCCTACTTTAAGCGCAGCAGCCCGTTGTAGAGACCCCTTTCAGACGTGTCGCTGGGCCCATTTTGACAAACCTACTTGCCTCCCAGATGTACATCTTCATCGACAACCTGCAGTGCAAGCCCTCTCATACCCAGGAGGATTTGACACTTCTGACCGTGGAGGCCAAGTCAGCCTCCCTTGTGTGCAGGTTCTGTCGTCAGTGGTTGAAACTACAAACTCACTTTGCCCCCCTTGTTGAATCAAACCACTGTCCAAAATACAGCTTTTTACGCAAAAAAGTTGTGCAAATGGCAGCCGTCATCCAAGCCCGACGTAGCGTGGTGGTTTTTGACATGGTTTGTTCATAGAAGGATTTGAGCATTTTCTTGGGCCCAAGAATGCGCAGGCAGAGGCCCCATCAATGTAGAGCTGGATTATTTGTTGGGCTCTGTGGCATGTGAGATCCAGTGAAAAGCCGGGATATTCGGGATTCCCCACAAGCAAGTACTGGCAAACCAGGCGGGGGCCAGTGGCACACTCTTCTACGGCAGTTTTTGGTGACTGAATTACGTGCTACAAGACCTCATGCTTGGTTGATGCTTGGGCCATGTGTATTAAGAAGGGGCAAGCCATTGTTTACTCGAGGTGAAACAACTTCACCGCAAAGACATCTTTGTTTTTCAAGTCGGAAAGCCACTAGACATCGCCCAAGATGCCCGAACACTTTGTCCTGGGCTTTTGCGCATCATCTACAAGCCCAAATGTTGGGACCCGGCAAAAGGAAAGACACACTACATACTTAGGATTCCAATTCAGGGTTGTGTCCCCTGTTTGGGGGGAAAATGTCTTTGGACAGGTCCTGTTGTATCACAGATTCGCAGGTTCCATCTCAAGCACAGCGTTCTAATTGGTTTCGCAGAGATCAACAGAGCGAGTGCCTTTGGAGGTCCGGGAGCTTCAGGCGAAGCTGTCAGAGCCTCAGGGCGAGAACTCAAATTTGCCGCTGGTTGCCAGTCGGGGGATTGCGGGGGGTGGGGGTGGACAGGGTTTCACCTTGTTGGTAGCGAACGTGTGTGTGTGTGTGTGTGTGTGTGTGGGTGCGTGCGTGCGTGCGTGTGTGCGTGTGTGCGTGTGTACGTGTGTGCGTGTGTGCGTGCGTGCGTGCGTGTGTGCGTGTGTGCGTGCGTGCGTGCGTGCGTGCGTGCGTGCGTGCGTGCGTGCGTGCGTGCGTGCGTGCGTGCGTGCGTGCGTGCGTGCGTGCGTGCGTGCGTGCGTGCGTGCGTGCGTGCGTGCGTGCGTGCGTGCGTATGCGTGCGTGCGTGCGTGCGTGCGTGTGTGTGTGTGTGTGCGTGTGTGTGTGTGTGCGTGTGTGTGTGTGTGTGTGTGTGTGTGTGTGTGTGTGTGTGTGTGTGTGTGTGTGTGTGTGTGTGTGTGTGTGTGTGTGTGTGTGTGTGTGTGTGTGTGTGTGTGTGTGTGTGTGTGTGTGTGTGTGTGTGTGTGTGTGTGTTGTGTGTGTCTGTGTGTGTCTGTGTGTGTCTGTGTGTGTCTGTGTGTGTCTGTGTGTGTCTGTGTGTGTCTGTGTGTGTCTGTGTGTGTCTGTGTGTGTCTGTGTCTCTGTGTGTCTGTGTCTCTGTGTCTCTGTGTCTGTGTGTCTGTTGTGTCTGTGTCTGTGTCTGTGTGTCTGTGTGTCTGTGTGTCTGTGTCTCTGTGTCTGTGTCTCTGTGTGTGTGTGTGTTTGTGCTTTGGCGTCTGAATCATGTGTGGCTTTGCACGCTGCATCCCGCAAACGAGTTGTTGGGCAAGCTGGGCGTTGACATATCAAGAAGGCAATGTGTTGGTGTTGTTTCCGTGCAAGGGGTTGAACGTGCAGCTGCTTGCCTCAGCAACATGATTGGATTTCCCGAAGAACTGAATGCTAAACAGCACTGTCCAAAAAGTGAAGGGTGCGAGAGGGTCCGATCAACGCACGCTAAGCTATGAGATGCATCATCCGCATGTTACCAAAGCTCTAGGTGGGCCATGCGTAGGCCAGAGTCGCGCAGGTCCGCCCTGAGCGGATGAGCATCAAAGAGGTCGCCTGTCAAGGCCATCACGCGTTTCAGCCGCTTTGGGAGCGAGGTTGCTTCATTGCGTCAGAAGGCACCGCGCCTCAATAATCCAGAGGGTGCTGATAAATACTTGCCCGTTGTGCGGAGATGTGTGGGATACCCTTCCAACGGAACCACTAAACAGCTTAGGACCCTCGTATGATGATTTTTCTGCCTGTGGCATCCGGGTGCCTTCGATTGGAACTGTGTGCTGAAAAAGTTTGAATGCGATTCCCGCGGGCATGCGACCAGTGGTGCGGGACACAAGTGCCACGAATTCACAAAATGTGGAACGTTCTCTCCCGTGTATCAGCCCGAGTGTGAGCACCTGCATTTGTAGAACGCAGGTGGGAACTTGGCGCAGTACTTTGTAGGCTGGGTCAGTTAAAATACTCCCCTGTCTCGCCCCGCATCCCATGACCTGATGCTTGAGAGCCAAATTCGCAGGTGCATGTCCTTGTTGAGGGGTACCCTTTGTGGGATTTCTGAGGAGAAGCCAGAAGCACGAGAAACAAAACTCGCATCTCCAGGATGCTTGCAGGCAAGCTCATGTGCCACAGTCATGCGGATGCCGATGGGCTGTGCAATCTGCGTGCCTTGCCAGAAGTTCTTGATGCAGCGCTGGAACTTTGCTTTGAGGAGGAAAAATGCGTCATAGGCTAGCAACAGCGGCGCAAATCCAAACCACATGCATATGTACATGGTTGGCAGCAACTGCAGCGCCGCAAGCGGCTTGGGTGTCAGAAGCAGCGTGAGTGCATGCCTGAAATCATATGGATGCTGAACACTCTGCAATGTGATGCCCCCTGAACAATGGAACCAGTCAGCGGGATCCTTTTTAAGTAGTGAACTCCTGGGGTCTGGGTGGGACTTGGACTTGCTAGTTGCCAAGTCCAAATTTATTGCTGTGGGCAAAAAACAACTGTGCGACTGTTTGCCCTTACTTGTGCAAAGAAGTTATCTTAAATGTGATGGTTTGGGGACCCCTTGCAAAATAGGTTTCCTAGATCTGAGGCCTTTACCCTTTGAGCTGGGAAGCGCTTGGTTAGGTGAACCACCCTTAGAGGTAGATGGCGTGGGCTTCAATTTGGGAACAACCCCAAAAACAGTTGGATACCCCCCTGCTGTTTGCCCGTATTTTTGTACAAAGCTAATTTTATTTGATGTTTAGGGGAGCACTTCAAAGAAGGGACATCTTAATGTTTTCCCGGATTTGTTTGCCCAACTTGTTTGGCCAGTTGTTTTTTCTTTTTTTGTTTTAATAAATAAAATACACATTAACAAAAAACACATTTTTCTCCTGCAAAACAACTTTCCACAATAGAGGACCCCAAAACAGTTGCAGGATCCTGAATTAGGAAAACAAACTTTACAATGGATAGAGTCCCCAATTGCTCGGGGAGGTCTAACATGATTTCTTGGCAGCATCACGCACTTGTTACCTTTGCGTCGTTTGAGTAGCATTGCTTGTTGCTTGCTTTGGACTCCTGAAACCACCTGTTCAGAGATCCTGCCAAAGACCCAATTGGGCGGAAGGGCCGAATGGGGCCGATAACTGACCTTTCCCTCAAAGTTGGGCAAGCGCTTGACGACCTTACGATATATTATACATATGTAATCCCCACCCCCTCGCAAATGCAGTATGAGAGGGGGGGGGGGTGAGGTAGGTTTTGGAATTTGTCCATTCCATTTTTTTCTGGCTTGGGGGTCCGGCGTGGAATCCCGCTTTGGGGAGGTCCCAGTGGAAAGTTGAAAAACACACCAGGGGGTGTTTTTTCCAATTTCGTTTCGGGGGGTACCCGCTTCATTTTTCCGATTGCTCTTGCAGACCTGGAGGGGGGAGGTCAGAAAATGAAATATAATACCACGAAGCTATCATTTGCTGGATTATGATTGAACGCCTCTAAGTCGGAATCCATGCTGGCCAAGCTAGGCGGTAGTGGTCAAATATATTTACTTTATATATATATATATATACAGAATATAAATACATAAATATCTATATATATACATATATATATATATATATTATGTGTTTTTTTGCGCGCTGCCTGGTGAGTTGTGTGCTTCATTATTTGTGACATAAGGGGGCTGTCACCGCCAGGTGTGGCACAGGCTTTTCCGGCACACTACACCCCAGCCCTGCAAGCCTGCAAGACAATTTGCAACTGGCTCCAAAGTCAGTATGTTGGGGTTTTCAACATTGGTTTTCGGCCTTTGGGGGGAGTGCCCCTGAAAAACCCACCATGTAGAGGCCACCTCAAAATGGCTCTCGCCGCGCTTCCGTATCCACCTCGAGCCCACCTCGAGCCCAGGCAAAAGCCTGGCGCCTGAAGGAGTTTGCCTCAAGTCTGGTTGCAGCGGCCAGCACACTGGCCAAAGTGGACCAGTCGGTAGCAGGAATGGGGGGTGTTAACTATCTTGTCAAAGCATCCCACACCATTTTTTTTCAACAGATTGTTCTGCCTGCAAATTCAGGAGGCTGACAAGAAGCGAAGCCACAGGGGCAGGCACTGCCATGACCCCTGCCAGCTCTCATGAGGTACTTGGTGCTTTCTCTTCAAGTTTTGCTCACCCGCGGGTGGCTGGACACAGCCTTTGCAGATGCACTTGCAACTCATCCCAAGGCTTTGTCTAGCCCGTGGGTTGCTTCGCATCGGCCAAATCCTGCGAACACACATCGTTTGAGGAAAAGCTGGTGGCAACCTAGCAGTTGTGCCATAATATGTTCAGGAGGCAAGCGGGGATTTGGCGGCTGCTCGGTAGAGTTTTGGTTATGCTGGGCCATCTAAAAGCAAAATGCCGGCATTCTATGGATTCTCGAATGGCCCAGCGCTCCGTGCCTTTTGGCAAGAAAGACATCCCATTTTGCTCGGCTGAACAAGCAAGTTAAAAAGCGTGGGGTGTCATGTGCGGCCTCCGGTGATGCAGCCGGCAGATGTTTGCCGTTCGTTGTGCACATGTCCCAAGGTCATTTTGAGGGCGCCGGCAAGTGGAAAGGGATCCGCACCTAAGCTGCTCCTGTGAAATTGGGCATGATGAGCTGGAAGTACGTCTGGCCTGCAGGTGAAGTCGCCAGGGACGGCACGTCAGCTGAGAACCAGAGTAGACAAGCCTCTAAAACTGGTCGCATCCCCGCGGTACTTAGTTTGTAAAGGCCTGGGTCGACTGTTTGAGGCTCCCAGGAATCTATTGCCACTGCTCTGGCACTTGGAGCTGCATTTGTTGCACGGCTGCATGGCTGCATGGCTGTTTGGGGCTGCTTGGCAGTTGTCGCAGCAGATCCAAATGGAAATGTTTGGCTCAAGGAAGCTTTGTACACCCGGCGGCTATTCAACTGATTCAGGTCATTTGCATTTTCCCGACTGTCGCTCAACACAGAGAAGCAGATGCATCAGTGGTCACACTGTTATGCATAAATGTATGCTTTTAAGCCAGGGTTGTTGTTCATAGAATATGCCAGTCGTACGGGTGCACGCAATAGTCAGCACGATTCCATTTCATTGATTCAGGTAGCGCATGTTTTGCCTGTGCCTGGTTAAGATCACTATGCCCACCATTTTTTTGGTAGCTAGCTCCAAGAGTGCCCGGCTAGCTTGACATGGTAGCAGTCGGGCTCATGCAGCTTTGGTGCCATGCACCCAGCAGATGGCCAAGCGCTCAGTTTGCGAATGCAGGATGCGAAAGGAGTCTGATTTGGCTTATCAAGGTTCGGAGGTTTGAAACTGGTTGGTTTCGAGATGCAACGATCCACTCAACATGAGGATGTTCATCCAGCATTCGGCTTCCAGCAAGGTCCCTCGCCCCGCGCGTACGGCGTGTGAGGCGCGCAAGAACGAGCTGAGCCTGGGCGCCTGCGTGGAGCCGGCATGTGTCCACTCCCGGGTCAGCATCCCATGGAGTCGCAGGCTGTTAGGTGCGTGTCCCACAGTCCGGGTGAGCGGACTGCCAAAAGGGTGCCGCAAGTCGATGTTTTCAAGGGTGGACCATATAGGGCTCTTGGGCATCAGATTGCCACCTTTGGTGACTGACTCTGGCCATCCCGCCATCCCGCATACAAGATACATGGAGAATTACCTTTGGCATGAGTTTTGTTTCCAGATTTTCTCAGGCATCCTTTGCTACTTGTATGGCCTCCGCGTTCACAAGCTAAGAATGGCTGCCAGTGCTGAGATGAGGTTTCTTGCGGCCTTCAGATTGGCACATGGTTTCTACTGACAGCGGCAACCGCTGTGTGGGCTGCTATGTTGTGTTCCTTCGGCTGGCGTGGACGCCTTTTCTGGCTCGCAGTCAACGCTCCCTCACCATCCTCACCCATTACGAGGTTTTCTCAGTCAATGAAGCGCCCGCCGCCAGGTGAAGTATAACATTGGCAGCTTCTTTGCCGTTTTTTGCCTGGGATGGATCGTCATCAGCAACCCCACCGTGGCGGCCCTACGGCGAGCAACGTTTCGGATGGCGAGTGCCATAGGCGCAGATCATGTCACGTGCAGCCGACCTCCATCCCACCTAGCTTCAGGAGGATGTTTGAGGCAGTTTGAATTGAAATGCCTAAACCATTAGAATGGGGTTTGGGGGTGCAAACCACATTAAATGTAGTCACAATTGTAGATGTAAGCTAGTACCATCACACACACACAAAAACGGTGCCCCCCTGCTGGCTGAGAATCCCTCGCAGAACGGCCAAGAATTCCCTGACTGTCGCAAGGGTCGCGGGAGTTCGACTTGGACTTCGTCTAAGGGGTCCGCTGAACCCCTGTCTGGCTGTAAATTGAGTACGTGGAGGTTCGCGGACGTTCTTCGCGAAACCGCGAAGTTCGCAGACGGGCGTTTCCAGCCAGCCACCTCCCTTCCAAAAATCGTGTCATACCCATTAACCAAGCGCCGCCTTAAACCCGGACGGTCAAAACAAATCCACGTGACTTGCCGAGCGCTGAGGTGCTCGGGCCGTGCCCAGGCGGGTTCTTTCACCATAGGGCAAGGCAACGATCCTTGCATCCATGCTCCAGTCAAGGTGATGGGTGACTGCTGCTTTGCTTTTCTATCGTCGCTTATTTTGGATGGTTGTGAGGCGGGTGTGGACCACTGCAGGTGGCGTTGGCCCCCCAGAGGATGTGTTCAATGACCCCATCATTGACTGGCTTGGGAAGGGGAGCAGCGGCTCGTTCAACAGCCGTCTGCATTTTCCAGACTTGGGCTCAGGGCATTGGAGGCAAGAAGGCGACCCACGCAATCATTGCCCGAAGCTGTTTCGCCAAATGAGGGAGAAGTACTCTCTCTGGAATTAAACAGGAAGTCCGTGCTCTCAGAAGTCCCTCTAACATGGAAGTCCCTTCACCGTCTTTTCCTGGGGAAATGCCTGTCTTTTTTTTTTACTGGGAAGGTACGACAATCTCCTAACATAGAATCTGTGCCAGGTACCCCTTGCCACGGCAATCCTGGGGTTTCCCAAAACAACCCTAGATTCTTGGGGGGGCCGGCTTTGAGCCTGCACTTCCATGTAAACGAAAAACGTGGGTGAAAACACAAGTTCTGACCGACGAAAGTGTCCTAACATAGAACCTGAAAAAGGGCTCTGCACTTCCATGTCAGGGAAAACGTGTGAGCAGAATCATTGATTTGACACACAAAAGCTGGCTAACATAGAACATAAATGGACCTCGCATCGTATGATGGACCTCGCGCACAGTCATCGGTCGCACTGGCTTTTCTTCCCTGACTTCTAAGTCGGTACCCCTGAGTTTAGTGTTGGAAACACACACGTCGCGTGAGCGCACCCTCCGCCCAAACCTTCCTGTTGGAACAATCCATGAATAGCTTTAGGTGGTTGCGCTTCTATGTTAGCATAATTGAAGGGAAATGGGAATCATTCTCGAGCTGGGTGTGTGTGTGTGGGTTCAAAAGCTAGTCTCTTGTAGCTTCTGAGTGAGCATGTCCAAATGCTGCTTTGCAGCGGCCATGTTTGGGTTTTGCGCACAAAACCACTCCCAAATAGCATGCAAAGCAGACAGCAGAGCTTTGCGCTCGCTGCGGATTGCACCCCAAGACGGGGCAAAATTCTGATTATTGAAGACTGCATGCCATTGACAGGTCTGGTTGTGATGGTAAATACCAACACCAGGACTGTTTGGTAGCTCAACGCACCCTTCTTCAGCAAGCTGCTGGTAGGCTGCGCGGTACATGAAGCTGGCAGGTGGCTTGCACCTACTGGCATGATCCCCTGCTGTGACAACCATGCAAACAAACTGGTCAGGGTCAACTTGTGATCCTTCAGGAATGTCCTGTGGGACGAGCTGGCCAAATGTAATGGGGCGAGGCTCTTTCACAGATCCTGCCCCGGGAGCCGCTGCGGGATCAGGCATCATATCTGCAACGTCAGCCAACTCTTGGCCTGTAGGAAAAGCAAACAAACAAAAAAACTAACATGGAAGCGAAACTTGCTTTGGGGCAACACAGCCCACCACCCAAAATCTAGCTCGGGGCAAGTTACCAAACCTGTAGGGTAAAGTTGCAAGTTCCCGTTTAACCAAACAAGACAAATGTTTCCCTAAAAAACAAACCCAAGAAGCTTCCATGTTTGAGGGACCTCTGAAAGTAAGAACTTGCTGTATACACTTCCACGGGGCGATAGAACTCGGAACGGGTGTTGAGAGAAACCCTCAATAAATCATGAATAGGATTGAGTTTTAGAAAGAATGAACAGGTTGTTGAAGGGGAATCCACCTAACCCACGAACTTGATAACATCCACCCAACACATCATGAATTTCTTAGGAGGGGTCGTAGCGTAGGGGTTGCCCATGTGCTTCCAGGGGGAGATAAACTAACATGGAAGTGGCTCCCACTGACCTGAACCATCCCATCAACAATGTACTTTGTCTTTCGTGTAAACCCACAGCACCCTTTGTTTCACAATATTCTGTGGGCTTCTATGTTAGTACCCCTTCCCCCCGCGTGGCATGAAACATTCTCGTTTGAGCGTCCGTCCTTCCAACCCCTGGTCAGAGCCGATCATAGTCTCGGAGGATTCACTGGCATTGTCACTGAAGTCATTGTCACCGTCGATGTCTTCAAGCGGGTGCCCCATGTGTTCGTAGCCTTCAAGCAAGATTGTGAGCTTGGACCGTTGTTGGCCCTTGCTCAAATCGAAGCATCGCAAATTGTAGAACGGTGACGAAGTGGTCAACTGCAAAGTGAGTTGAGCATCAGTATTCTCCACCTTGAAACCAAGTGTCATAACCCAAGGTTGTTGCTTCGCCGACATCTTTTTGAAGACTGGTCGGCCATCCTCCGAGGTACGAACGTTCTTAGCAAGGAATTCCTGGGTGGCCATACAGCCTGTCCGCTTGTTCATCACAATCCAACGCTTGCAGTTGCGGAGACCCATGTACTCATTCCGGGCCTTGATGGTTGCAGGCTTGGAGTCATGCGCGTCTTTTCCCGAAGAACTGCAAGGTTTTTCTTACTGTTTTGCAAAGCGTTGACCGTCAGGGCCAGAGTACGCACATAGGCGCTTGCAATCTCATACGGCAGTGCGTGCCATTGCGCAGCGTCCTGGGGGGAGGGGGGGGGGGGGGGGTAAACCAACAAACGCCACACTGTACCAACTGCCAACTAACATGGAAGTTCAATCTCACCCATGTCCTGGTTCTCCCCGACTTGAATTTGCCACTCAAACATCCTGCACCGTTGGGGGCTGAAGCTGCCTGCGCCGCACTGCTTGAAGACATCAGACAACACAGCCTGAGCATCGTGTAGATCAAGCGCTTTTTGAGTGTGCAACTCTGGGTCATAGATTGACATGTGATGCCAGTCCATATAGCCGCACACCACCCAAGCAGCTTGGAAAGTCTTGCGGAGCATGCTATTCCATGCTTCAAGGGTAAGCTCCAAAATGTCCTCATAGGACCGAACCTTAGATGTTTCAAAGGAAGATCATCAAAGCACGGTGTCTAGAGGGGGGAAAATCTTTTATGTCCAAGGACTAACGACGGCTTACATGGAAGCCCGGGCATCCTTGAACAAATGCTTTTAATGGGTGTGAGGTAAGACAAAATCTGGAGGGTCTCCACAACGAATCGTTTGAGATCCAGGCACTTCGTTGGCCACCTGTCCTGACGAGCGTAGCGGCAGCTCAGCAAATCCTTGGCGTGGTTTGCTATTCGGTTCATTCGTCTAATGACAGGCCAAAACAAAAACTGTAAGGCCTACGTAGTATTTAGTTTGGGGGGGCCAACGAAGACTTACATGGAAGTCCGATGAGGAGAGACTCTATGTTAACCGTGTTTGCGTGTTTGCAAAACACTACCGCGGTCCCATTCCAATGCCAACAAGGAACGGGGTCGACTTCTCAAATCGGCCACTTGTCCAGTTGCGGCAACATCTAGGCTTCTCACTTTTTGGCGAAAGACGTTGTGGAGCTGGTCTACGGGTTGGCCGTGGGAGCTCCACCCCCCCGGTTGCTTCCGGGGGGGGTGGACTCTGTGCGTCTCGTAAAACGCGTCACGCCTGATGTGCTCGCCTTTGGACTTCGAGAAGGTGCCCGACCAAGCGTCGCAAAGGAAAGCGGCTTTTGCTTCCGGGTCAGCAACAGTAAGCCCATACCTTGCACTGTGTGTCCCTTTTGCTTTTAAACAAATTTTAAGCGCCGCCAGATTCCTAGGCCACTAACATGGAACCCCATTGTGCTCCACAACTCTCCCAAAGAAACAATCCGTTTGAGTTAGGCAGTGGCAAGCTGGATGCCTAGTGAAAATACCTTCCGTGAGGCTAACATTCAAGCTCCCTTTGCATTGTTAGTTACATGAAGATAAGTCTTCCATGGGGTGGGGGGGGTTCATGGGAGCTTCCATGTTAGCCAATGGGAGGGTGCACGCAGTAAATTTAGCTTCAGGGTCTTGGCCCGCTGTCGCTGCAACGCCAGTGCCGGTGAGTATAACTGTTCGTACACTTGTACCAGGGTATCTCCCGTCATGAAATGACTGGATGTGCCCGAAGTAAGCACCATAGCTCTGCCAGCGTGCTTCTCGTTGAACTGCCTGATGGCTTCTGCCGACAGTTTCCCCTCAGGCACGGTGAACGCTAGCGGTCCAGCTGTGCCATCCGACCATGATGATGTGAGTACCTGGGAGTCGGATGTAAGAAATGAAGCATTCACTTCTCACCACCCCTCAAAGCCACTAACATGGAACCTCATTACGTGGGTCGCAGTTGAGGGATGTGGATTGACGATACGGGTACTCCACTCCCCTCCCAATCCCTTCCCACTCCCCTCCCCGTACATCGGAACTACAGCTTCTATGTTAGCCAAGCTTTCCCTGGACCAATTCGTCAAAGGGACGGTCACGCTGCGCCGGCTACCCTTGATCGTGTGGAGCTTTTTGTCCATCTTGCGAGGTGCCTTTGTGCGATGCGTCCTTTTCGACATTGATGATCTGGCCTTGTATAGCAGCTTGCCCCCGAATGCATATGCGCATCTCCAAAGCTGATCAAAGTTCAGGACCAATGATCCGTGTACCCCATGCTTGCTGAACAGTTCTTTCGTTGTGGTTCTGGCATGGGCCATGTCGATGTGATCGTAGGGCAACCATGTTTGTGTGTCAGAACCGCGGGAGAGCATGCTCCACCCCCACTCTTTCATCCACCAACGGCACCACGAAGCGCTTGCATCTTTGACTGTTGAACGTTTGGGTTCTAGGGCCACAGCAGCTGCTTCTGTTGAGATTTTACCTTGCTGTAGCAATGCCATAATCTCCAGGTTGGCAGCATCGACTTGCTTGTTGGCAGCGTCCAGACTGGCATTCCAGTCGCAAATGAGGCCGTTGATTGTCACGGCCTTATTGAACGTGAATGTTTGTGGACCGACGATCAACCCCTATTGAGATCACTAGAGGGGCTCTACAGTGAAACTGTTTTTCGCAGGGTGTTTTGAGGGCCTCACAAACGAACCCGCTGGACA